ATTATATGTCGTGAGTTCCGTGCGATTAATTCATTTTATCGAAATACGATGTTATACTCGCAATTTATCACGCTAATGTTATCTGTTTATGAATTCTGCGTATATATAAACGACACAAATGTAACATAATTAACGATATATATATATATCAGTGATTGATAAGTAAAGGCGGTAGAGCGCTTATCGAATTAAGTATCGCAAAATTGTGCAGATAAATATATACACTCTCGACTCTGCTAAATACTGATGATACGAATATAACGGATGCTCTTCGCGAGAGAGAGTAATTTTTCTTCGAGATAAAAAATTGATTCGAAACACATAAACAAAAAATAAATCACGATAAAATTAATGAAGTCGCCAGTGATGAGTAAAAACCATACAAATTTATTGAAATCTCGACCTAACTGGCCAGTACAATTTAATTAGAAACACTACGTTTCGACCCTTAGGTACGGGTCCTTTTCAAGTGTAACTTTCAAGATGTTGATTCGACAGCATCGCAGTGTTTCTAATTAAATTTCACTGGCCAGTTAGGTCGAAATTTCAATAAAAAATAAATCGTCATCCCGCGTTCAGGTATCATTTCATGTGCAGCATGCTGCGCCGCAGTAGTTTGTTGCTATTGGTGAAGTTCAATTGAACGAACAGCAAAGGATTCTAATTATTATTATAACTTAATAAATATTACGAGGCCATGTGTAACGAGCAAATAACAAATTATTATAAATCTTGGAAAAACTTTAATTTAAAAAAATCAATTACAAACGTTTCGAACTGTACTCAGTCTTCTTCAGTGCGCAATAAACATTATAATAAATAAATAAATATAAATAAAAATTCTAATAAAAAGTCGCAATACAATGTCAAAATAAATTAAATAATTATGTCAAAATTAAAAGGCGAAATACGCTAACAATAAATTTAAATTATTAAAAATAGTTCAACACGAACAGTCCCAATTAAATGCAAAAATCAAATTAAAATAATTTATCCGGCTAATCAATATTATTTTAGAATTCTAATTATTATTATATTAGTAAATGGATTTTAAATATCGATTAATACGAGAATATAAAAGCAAAAATCGTAATTTAACCTTTGAAATAATAAAAAAACGAAGAAATATGCTCCGATAAATTTTGATCGCGTGACTGATTTGCTGCTGCAGCATGCTGCGTAAATGCATGAAAAGGCACTTTTCGCTGCGAAAAGCCGAAAAAGGCGCGAATATAGAGAGGTAAAAAATTGTCGATAGACATATAATAATATCGTAAATCCATTTCTCCGCTCTTTTGAATCGCGTAATTGCTATTTTCTCCGTGTCCAGGACCAAAAGGACTCGAAGAGATCTACCGGTCTCGCATCCTGCAGATGAAGTACACATACAATCCAATTATAGCCGGCGCGATCGGTCGCCGAGAAAGAGAGAGAGAAAGACCAGATATCGCGTTTATCATAAATCAAGATTAACGGTCGCAAAGATTTTCACAGTCCGTGTGATTTTTTTACTTATTTATTTTTTTTTCGAAAAACTCGTGTAATACGCATATATATATATATAACTGCACATAGTATACATACGCTGTTAACGCGAATATCGCTCCAAATGAAAGAAAAGAAATCCCAGGAAGGCGATGATCGATTAATACCTCTCGTCTCTTTATCCCTCCTTACGCGTGTTAACGGGTTAAACGTCCGCGCGAGATCGAGCGATATTTCATGATTTCTTCGTGCTTTTCCGCGATCGTTCCCCTTCTCGCACCTCTTTCTGTCGACAACCAAACTGGTTTGTCCCTCGTCGCGGAAGAGAAGCTGGCTCCTTCCAGGAGCGGATCCATATACGGAAAGCTTAGGGTTTTCTTGTAATTTAAAGAGAACTGTCAAAATAATTCAAGTATAAAATACTTCTTATTCCAACAAATATTTAAAGCCTATTATAATCTAACGATTTTTTTTTATTACAATTGAATCAAGTTCAATTACGATTCTCCAACGAGAGAAAATAACATCTTCATCTGAGAAAATAATTTGTTGCTTAATTATTTAATTCAGTTCAATTATAATATGATTCTTCGACGAGAGAAAATGGCATCTTCACTCTAGACTTGTCAGACTTCACCTATATTAATTATATATATACATATTATAATATAATGTATACATATATATATTTAAATAAAATACTCAATTATATCGCACTTTATTGAAAATTATTTTAATATTCAAATAATAATACAAAGAAATTAAATTCTATCGTGCGTGCATATTTTTTTATTCTTAATTCCAATATCATCACTTTTGTAGGAAAAACAATATATTACATAATAATTTTTATAACAGATCGAGACAAGTGTTTGACACAAGACACTATTACAATACTTTTTTTTATTCTGATAAGCACTTAGAGTGAAGATGCAACAATAAACGCGAGAAGAAGCTGGAGATATCCGATGAAAAGAAAATCTATAGGTGCATTTCATACGCAGCAGCAAATCAGTCACGTGGTCGAAATTTATTAAAGCATATTTCTTTGTTCTCTTATATATTATTTCAAAATTAAAATTATAATTTTTGCTTATATATTCTCATAATAATCTATTTTATTCTTAAAATCCATTATTTAACTAAAATAAAATAATAATAATAATTAGAATCAACCAGTTGCGTGTTCTTCTGCTTCGCTGTTCGTTCAATTGAACTTCATTGCACCAATGCAGCAACAAACTGCTGCGGCACATGAAATGGTATCTTATAATAATATCTTCGAAGATTCAGGATACATTCCTGGAGCTTTTTCCTAGCTAAGGATCGGTCGCATACGAGAAACGGATTCATCGGCGATTTTCGATCGTCGATCAACGTAGGCGACCGACGACGTAAGCAAAACCGGTCACCGGTCGAGAGAAGACCTGATATCAAGACGGGTTACGATAAATCGCGAGTAACGGCTGCCCGTGGGGAATTCGCGCTGCCGGGTTCGCGTTAATTTTCTGTTTGTTTTCTAATTAACTTCTCGGCGAGAGCGGACGTGACCGTATTACTGCAATGTGCGCCGAGAGATTATATTATATAGCTCTTGCAAGGAGGATTACGCGTCGCGCTTTAATAAATTCAATAATTAAGATACTCTACACCGGCGGATTAAGACAATAATATGAATGAATCGATGCGCCTCGGATTTTTTCCTTCTCACGTATATATAATCACACGCCCGCGAAAGCGCGAAAGTGTTCTATGCGCGACGTATATACTGCACTTTATATTTATTCGTTGCTGCTATCTCGAAACATACTAAAGTTTCCTGAAATGTCGCTTCGGAAAAGTATTATATACACTTATTCAATCCTGAATCTGGATTTGAATTTTTGAATCTGAGAAATTCCTCCGACTATTCCATTCGAGAAACAGTATAGGAGTAAAAAAGCTAAACACTTGTATGTAATATTGTTTCTTCCACAAAAGTGATGATATATTAGAAAATTGAGAATAAAAAGAATATATGTACACTATATAGATAATTTCGTAAAAATTATTTCATCCAATAAAGTGCAATATATACCAATAGAATATTAAATTAATATATATATTAATATAATTAAAATACATAGCTGTCGAACCTAAAAAATAAATTTTCTGATAAAAAATTTCTCAAAACTAACAAATAAATATCCATAAATATGACGATAATTTTTCTTCCCAATTATCGCAATTTTCCGACATCACTTTTGAAGCTCCTTTTATATCGCGATATAATTTAATCGAATGGAAGTGAAAAAAAATTCCCGAATAATATTATTCGTAACACTTCTCACAAACACATCGGTCATCTCGTACTCCATATACAACGTATACATCTGTGCATTAAAAATACGCTGCACGAGCGCAGATATAGAGAGCGGAGACACCGTCGTCCCTCGACGCAAATGGAACTTAATGAATGCGATGTCGGGCAGATAATTCGATGTAGAGAGAGAAAGAGAGAGCTAAGTGAATTTTTACGAGGATCAGGACCCTCGGTTCCCATGTGTCTCCACGGCTCGCGGACGGTGACACTCGCGTGTGCGTGTGTCACCGTCAAAAGCCTCTTCTCCACTCGCGTCGTCGCCCTGTTTTTCGGCCGGTCGCAACAAGCATGTGGCGCGGCCAATATAACACGAGGCGCAAATAATATTTCATCAAGCCGGCGAACAAGATTTCGCGGCGACAGCGCGCGAAGGAGTCGACTTTTTCGGGGCTTTTTAGCTAATGTGGACCGTTCTAACACCGTGCGCGTACACACACACACATCCTCTTTCGGCTCTCAGAGCCTGTTGTGTTGCCATCGGATCGGTCGAAAGGTATAGAGACACGACCTGCCAATGAGTTGACAGCGGTTCTCAAATGGCCCGCGAGAGACTTCGAAGAGATTCGAGTGAAGTGGGGAAAAAGTATTTCCTTTTTTAACAAATTGTATAATTTTTATACAATAAAAATATAATGCACAGGAAAACAAAATATTTAGTTCTTATTACATTGATATTTATTTGCACGTATTCGACCGCAGATTTTGTTAAATGCGATGATTTTTTTTTTCAGTGTGCTCATAGAATTTTTTAGGGCCGGTTGTTCCGACTTCTTGGTAAGTTTTATACCCGACAGATAGCATATCTTCGTCTCTTTTTCAGAACTTATTTAAAAAAAAACACGAAAATATCCTATCTGTTGGATAAAACCAAGAAGTTAGAAAAGTCTTCATATAATATATGTATATGTATTAATTTAATCTAATATACATAAATTAATAATATACGTATTAATATAATATTTAATATAATATATTATATTAAATTAATATATATTATATAAGATATAAATACTTAAGTAAAATACTCGATTTTAATATCAGTTTAAGACAAATCCGAAGACTTTTTCGCATCAGTTCATCACTAATCTTATTAATCCTTTTTCAACTTATTCGCAGTTGATAAATAATGTCGAATATTGCTTATCACTGACAGATTCTACGGACGAAAGAGGTAAGATGAAATTGAGAACATCTGCACGGCGGCTGCCGGCGATGTGTTCCCGAAGGAAGTGGACAGGGAATCGCGATGAGACACAGAAGGCGACACGACGTGCGGCGAGTTTTATATTATAATTACCTATCCCCTTGGTGACAGTAATGCTTATTTTTAGTCCCTCTCATTAATCGTATTCTTCACTCGCATTTTGAAACGTGGTATTCAAACAATTTAACGCGAACAACTGTGTCATATATCATAAATCAATGATTACTGCGTCGATTCAATTTTTCTCAATTAATCGTCATTTTTCTTTATAAACGTTAACATCGCAATTTAAATTGCACGTCAAGTTTATTCTTTTTATATATGCAATATATAATTTAATTTATTTGTACTTTTTTTTAATTTTTTCTAATCATTTTATTTTATTTTTAAATTATTATATATATTTATTTATGTAAATATATTATATTTTTCTCAATTAATCGTCATTTTTCTTTATAAACGTTAACATCGCAATTTAAATTGCACGTCAAGTTTATTCTTTTTATATATGCAATATATAATTTAATTTATTTGTACTTTTTTTAATTTTTTCTAATTATATATTTTATTTCATTTTTAAATTATTATATATATTTATTTATGTAAATATATATATATATACTGACAAATGTAATCTAGTCTTAATAATTTAAAACTGTTGGCGAGCTCGATCGAGACCTCGCACGATGCATTCAATCAAGAGTCAGCTTGCATTAACCTACATATAATAAAATCCCGGTTATCGCGATAAAGTAAGTATATACGGCAGCCGACATAACCCACGCTCTGTACGCACAGGTGCGTTTCGTGCGGCGATGGCGAAAGACCGCCGCTCAGATTATAGTCGCATTTATTAAAATTCGCATAATGTACACGCTTCAAAATTATTAACGCAAGCGAATTAAGCTACGATAAGATATACGTGATGTTATTAGCCTAATATATTGTGCTCGTTTGTGTAAATTCCAAAGTCAATGTAACTTCCGTTTCTCGTTTTTGCGTACGTCGAATGCAACATCATTAAAAAAAGGATATAATTACTGTGAAATATTTTATCTGAATGATGACTGAAGTGTCATTGACAATGTGTATATATACATACACACACACACACACACATATATATATATATATATATATATATATATATATATATATTCTGCAATGAGAGTCATTTTCTTTCCTTGCCAATAAATTATTTATATGCATATATAAATGAGAAAAAAATTAATTCTTCCCTTGACAGAATTGTTCTGGATGGGGAATCGCGCAAACTTTTCATTTACATCATTAAATATCTTGGCAATTAAATCTTAAGTTAATTAAGAAATCAAATCAGATAGCTTAATAAAGTTCTGAATTATAAAATTTCTTATAAAAAGTACCAACCAGCGTAAAGTTCGAACCAGCGTAACACGAGTCAATAATAATAAGATACAATGAAACCTCTGTACTAATGTTCATTAGTGCAAATAATCACACGAAAGAATCTAGTAAGATTTATCAAGATGACTGTCAGTAAAAAGTGTGGACTTGAAATCATTTTATCTTTAAATTTCACCAATTCTTTTTTTTTAATATTTCGGAAAAAATCGTCTTTGAAAATCTAAGCTTATATTTTTTTAATATATTAATTTGATATTTAAAAATATAATAATATACTTTGTTCGAAATAAAAAAATATAATGCATATAAATAAAATTCTAATAAATAAAATTGTGTACTCTGGAATCATAATGGCTGTTGTGCTTATGGCATCTAAAACGCCATAACTAAATATCCCCTTCTATATCAAGGGTGCATGACGTCAATGGGAGACTAATGACAGGTCGGCCCCTGTAATAGCCGGTTACGCTGACATAATAGAACCCTGCCTTCCTTGAAAGATGAAATGGCACGCCTATGATACATCATTAAAATGACGGTATAGCTGCTTTATCATTCGCACATTTGGATATATACATATATTCAGTTAATACAAATTGAAAAAAACAATCAAAATCTCAAATTTTCCCTTAAATTTATATTCTAGAATAAATAAATTAAAATCTCTCTAAATAGAATTTTTTAAAAATATATTTATAAATTTTCTAGTTAAAATTCTTAATATTCTTTAATTTCTGGAAAAAAAATTAATTTAAAGTTGAAATAGAATCTTTCTCTTTTATCTATACAAGGTTTTTTTCCCCTTACGGTTCATAATTATTCATATTATTATTAACCTTTATAATTCACACTTCACGTCTTCAACATTACTCCAGTCCATCAATCGACATCGAGTTCGCTTTAGTGTACTTCCGGTCGCGCGTCCTAATCGGACTCGAGATCAGTCCTACGACGAATCTCCCTGTCGTTTTATCGGTGTCGGATGGTGCCGCATGGATGGACGTTCGAGATATTGCGTGTAGATAAGCGCGATGCGTCACAAGGTCTGACTCCGCTCGTACCTGGCAGCCTGTGCGTTTCGCTTCGAGAGAGTCGGCGTCTCGAAGGTATACCATATATATATATATATAAAATCGTCGCAGATGCCAGGGACAGCCGTCTGCTGCACCATCGACCTTATTGGAAAGTCATGTTCGGCGCCAAAACCGGAAGTTTCAACAAGAACCGCTTCCCCCATCACGATAGAGTCGCTGTTTTAGGTGCACATTGATCCGATCGGTCGCTTTGACGTGACGTCACACTTTTGACGAGATTATTCATTATAACGTTATTTTTCCACGCGACAGTTCAATCATATTTGTATCTTTCCTCAACGCATTTGCAATAGATTAAAATAAAAATAAAAATGTATAAAATAAAATAAAAATATATGTCCATATCTCTTTGATGTAACAATTTTAGTTTTGCCTCTTCGAGGTCTTTGCCAAGTTTAGGGTCCCCAGCATCCCCGGATGTCGATTCAAGTCTTCCGCCCACGAATCGCGAGAGCGCACGCGATAATCCGAATATAAGAGGAACAACTGTCACGCGTATCTCGACGACAATGACACGTGCGCAGGCGACGCCTACTAATCGAGAACGACAAGGATGACGATGACGTGGATCCGGAATCGTCGCGATATTCTTATTCGAAGAAACTCTGCGAACGGTGGCCGGAGAAATTAAATGCACGATTAAATGCATCTTGCCTATATACGTATATATATATGTGTGTGTATGTGTTCGGGGCACGATCAGCTGTTTTAATTCCGAGCTCGCCCTTTAAAGATTGACCCGTTACACGGGCAAAATCCAACGACACAAATGGCGAATAGATTATTAGATTTCTAGTAACGAGCTGTGCCTCTCCGAGAAGTAAAACCGCACCTGCGTGTGTGCGAATGTCGGCTGGATGCATAAATCTCCCTCGCAAGCATTTGCGAATGAATAGACAGAAGGTGAGAGAGGAGAAGAGGAGAGAGGTCGCGCTTCCTGGTTCGTGGGGCTTCCGGTCGCGCAAAAATGAGAAATCTATAGAACGATTCACGATGTAATTCATAAATAATTTAAGCGGTATGTGTATTATAGAGAGAGAATTCTGCGCGCTCTTTCACTCGCGTGTTATATCAAGGTATCTATCCAGCACGCGCGCGTTTTATTTCCTCGGATTCTCTAATATATTTGACGTTGTGTATCTCTCAAACAAGAAAAAAAAATAGAGAGAAAGAGAGAGAGAGAAAGTATATAACGACGATACCGTCTTATTTATAAAGATGCGTTATAGGATGCAGATTTCTAAAACTGTTTTATACGAAAATTTCTCGACATTCAACAGGTATCTCGTATTATTATTTAGTAATATTAATATTTTTTATATTATTTATTACATGTTATATGTATACATATAATATATGTGTATAATATTAAATAATTAATATAAAATATTAAAATTACTAAATATATATTACACATACATGTGTAAATAATATGTATATAATAGATAATATATTAATGTTTTTTATTAATATTGAATTCCTAGAGTCTTCATACATTTGTTTAGCTTAAATCAATATCTCCATGATATTTTGCGATTCTGTCGTCGTATGGAATCAATTTAACGTTCTACAAGTTTCAGAATTAATATACAGAACGGTATCGCGGGACGTGATAAATGTGAGGTAGGAAATATATATATATCGATAATCACACGTGGGAAAACTCTCGAAATTACGATAACGAAGTCGCCGAACGTGTTTGTAATTGCGAGACCGATATGCAAAAGGGACTGAACGATGTAATTCACGATCTAGTTTAAAACGTATTAATATATAGATACGCTGGATAATCACCGGTGGTTCAGATTTATCAAAACTCATCGACATTTAGTATGTGCACAAATGCACATATAATACAAAGGCGTCCTGGACAAACAATTTAATTGTCAACTAGCCTTTCCTCTCAATTTCTTTCAACGTTATTAATTAAGACTCACAGTTTTTTCAATAAATCTCTCTCACAATGTGCACCAAATTTTTTTAAATGCAATAATTACTCGGAATAATGAATCGTTAAATTAATACAGATCTCGATGAATTCGCGAAGAGTTTACATGTATAAAACTGTCAAGTTTTATATGTATATATATATATATAAATATAAATATAATATATAAAACTTGACAACTAGTCATACGAAGATGCAAACGCGCATTCCTTTCAGATTGAAAAGTATCGGGAGTTTCGTCTCGACGATTCTATTAAAGCTTGATTCGCGATCGAGCTCGAGGCGACCGCGATTGCGAAGATTCCTGCATCCGGCACGATTCGAGCGAGTCCTCTCTCGAAAGAGTCTTCTCGCTTTCTCGATCTCTTTTTTTCTTCTTTTTCGCAATCGAGTCTCGCCACCCGCTCGGAGAATGTTCACGAGCTGAATCGATCGTACGTTTCGTGTAAAGTAGGCGTAAGTAGGCAAACCGGGTGTCCCGAACGCTTTCCTTTTATTCTTTCTCTCTGTAAGAAAGTTACGTGAATCCTGAACTCGTC